CAACTGAGGTTCAGGATTAACTCTGTTGCATTTCCCAAGCAGCCAGGCAGTCAGTGGAATGACTGTGGAGTGTCTGCATCCAACTGCTGACATGGTCTGCTGAAGACCTGGCTCAAACACTGGGCTGGGCAGGAGCGTGATGGGTACAAGGAATTAAAAATATTGAAAAATATTTCTCCAGTCACCCACACAGTCACATAAGGCAGGATCTTACAAGGATGCACCTCTGTCAGGTGAGAAATTGTGCATCACAGAGTGTGTCTGTAGCCTCAAGGGCTCTGTGAATGCCTCTATGGGCCAAGCAAAGAACCAAAAGCTTCAGCCTAGAACCTCCCTATGTCTAAAGCCAACAGTGGGAACCAAGAAAAGTCTTCTCTCACCTTTTTCACCTGACTAGCTAGCTGTATCTCCAGTGTACTTCCCATCCAGCCATACTTGAGGGAACAAAGAAAGCATCCAGGCCTATCCACATCTCTGTGGGGTTTCAGCTGAGCAGGAGAGAGAATTCTCTAGTCAGCTACATGATTTTATTTGTCTTCAATCCTCTGAACTGAAGATAAGTTTGATATTGATATCCTCAAGCTGAGGGCTTGTCTTTGCTGTAAGACAGGCGTACAATTTAGAAAAAGCTGTTTCTGCAGTACATCTGAGTGATTTATTCATTTAGTTCATTAGGCCAGACATAAATAAAAGATGTGGGTGTCAGTCCCCTACATGCAGCTTTAATTTGCTTGCTACGTGTCTGGTGGAGGTCACTGTCACTTACCACCTCTGCACTTGGCTTGACAAATGTCCTCCCACACTCCAAGTGCTGCCACTGCAGACAGCAGCAACTGCAGTGAGCACAGACCAAGCCAGGAAGCCCCTAGATCTTAATTATAAAACCATAAAAGAAACCAACTGCCTCTGAAGCTCTCTTACTAGGAAACAAATGAGAATGGGAAATTTATTTCCAACCATAAATCCCAAAGCCTTCAGCTTAATTTTTCCCAAGTTAACTTTCTCACCTAGCTAAGCAGCACTGCTTTCTATTATTAGCTTCTGGCCCAATATCAGCTGACCACCATCAGTCAAACTGCCTTCATCTCAATGAGCTCAGGGACTCCCAAGGAACTCTGTGTATGCTGACTTGTACTTGCAGCCTCTAATTATATTCTAACAGATAATGAAGCATTTAAACTCAGAGAGGATGGATTAAACTTGTAAGTGGATCAAAATCCTGGACACAACCACAGCTCGTAGGATTACTTCCTGGGAACATCGAGCTTAGAGGAAAGGCCCTCATCAGCTGTCAGTTCCCCATGACAAGTTTTTTAAGCACATGTTTTCAGCCTCAGAGGCTGTTTGCTATGCTCTCCTACTGCAGCACATCTTTGGACTTTATTACGTTGTCAATTGAGTATCTGGGTTGATGTTAAACCATCTGACCAGGCCAATGGCTACTTATCAGACAATCATAACAGTCAAACAAATTGAGGCTGAAGTGGTGAAATTGTTTTCCCAAGTGAAACTGTAAGTGAAATTATGAGTTCTACTATCAAGTAGCCTCTTAGCTGCACATTTGCTTTTTTTCTTCACTACAAGATTCTCTTCCCTCCATAACACTCAGGACCATCACATATTCTGTCCCCAGCCTTAGGGTGAGGAGTAGGATGGAGCTCCCTCCTGATGGCCCCGTGTCTTGCAGGTGACTCCCTCCCAGACACACTTGCAGGCAGAGCAGTAGCAAGAGCACTTGCACTCTGAATTCAGACTCCAGCCCCCTTTTGTGGGTGAGGGAGTGTGACCAGAAACCACTTAAGCACACCACCATGCTGAGGGGGAAATCCTTTATTTCTTATTTCCTTATTGTGTCTGGGATAATCTGTGATACATCCAGAGATATATGGGGAAATAGGGTAAACCTACATTTTACAGAACAGTAACAGCAACCTGTGTGTGGTGAAAATAAACCCACAGAAGGCCTCCTGTGCAATCTGGTTCTGCCCTGGTACAGGTTACTGTGCAGATTCCAGCTTGTATTGCTGTAGCAGACACAGACCTACTGCAGAGATAAAATCTAGGGACAAACACAGGGAGCAAAGGGAAAGGGCTACCTGGGAATGAATGGAGAAAGTCTGGAAAATAGACTCTGCTGCACCTCCCTCAAGAAAAATCCCAGATAAGGGCTGTGCTTTTGGATGGTGGCCGATTCATCATCTCCTGATGGGAGGTGCTTGGCCAGAGCAGGCAGGGGTGGCATTATATCACTGTAGTCATTACTGCTCCATTAGCAGGGCTTCACGTTGCTGAAATGGCAGCCCAGGAGCCAAACAGTTTTTCTTTACTCCTTCAGCATAAGGTTTAGCAGAGTTTCAGGAGGCTGAAGAGCACTTTCAGACTCACATTCTGCCAGCATTAGAAGTTTTCACCAGATCTATGGGCAGTGCCACTAACACCTACACCAGCCCTTTCTGTGGACACTGAAGTGTCCCAAGTACTCCCCCTGCACACAAACTGCTGTTTACCAAAGGCTTTCCATTTCCCTGAGTCTTTCTAAAAGGAATGCTAACTCCTGCTTACAAGTACAAGGACTTTCCCAATCCAGGAAGAAGTAATTGCTGACAAAAGCACACCAGTACTTGACAAGGACAAAAAAAACCGAAAGCCAAGGATGTGACTCATATAATGACATCTTCCCACTAAACCTCCTCTTCCCATTCACTACCAACACTGTCAGACCCTTATTTAAGAAAGAATTAACCCCACCATGCTCACAGTGGCATTTAGCCACCTCTATACCTTTAAAAATTCGACACAAGTGCTTTTAACCAACAACCATTTTTCATAGCGCTCTTTTTACTGAAGTACAACTGATGCATTTTGCTTTCAGGGGTACATTTGAATTTTTCCTCATAAAATAAGATCAGTGAACAGTATCCACTTTTATCAGGATAGCTATACTGACTGAAATCTTGAAGTGAGAATGAGTAAACCACATTTTTTTTACTCTAACTTACATTTCAGTGAACGATATTTGGGTCATCTCCTCATAATTTAAATTTTGGCTTAAATTTTTTTAATGTTTAAAATTATGTCTTTTTTGGGACAGGGAGGAGTAGTCGTATTAAAACCATAAATAATTCTTAGGTCATTCTCTTTGAAAATATATTTCAGAAACTAAGCAACTGGTTTAGGAAGTAAGGATGGCAAGAACCTCTGTATAATTGGATGAGCAATTATTTCCCAAGAATGAAATTTAATCATCTTCATCAATGTGGTACGGGAAAGGATTACAAATGACTGCATATATATCAAAAGCAGCACTGATAGAAAACATATTATTTCTCCTTATTGCCACTTGTATTAACTAATGATGAAGTCTAATTCTTTTTTATTATGATTAAAAACAACCTAAGGGTTATTTTTAACCTCAAGAACTAAAAACAACTTTAACTTCTCTCTCATCTTGCTACCACTGGGTCAGAGACTCAGCAGAAACTATTAATTTAAAGAGAAACCTTTCCTACTGTAACTGTATAGTCAAAAATCTCCCGAGTTCCCCAAAGCCTCTTCATTTCTGAGCCATTTATCAGCTGTTCTGATGCAAACACTGGGGAGAAGTATGGTCCATGAACTAAACTGACCTAAGCTGAGCTATCAAAACTCAGACAAGCAACTTTGCTTTTTACCAAGGACCTTATGTTTTCTTTGCTTCAAGGTTAATCAGCACCAGAGGAGGAGATATTACTCCTCTTTCTCTATTAGATCAGGGGTCAGATCCTGACCTGGTACAAATTGCTCAGTTCCCCTGACTTTCATAGACAGTGATAACAATTCCCTCACCTTTAGGCTGGAATCTGTATCACTGACATCCAGTTCACTGGATCCCACCTCTCCTCTTTATTAGCAAGACTCTTTGTCCATTAAGCAGAAAATATCTAATACTTGTTATCCTTTTAGTGCAATTAATTCCTTTTAAACAGTGCCCAAACTGCCTTTTAAATTTATTATTTGTGCAAAATGATCACTGAGTACAGTAAAACCACAGAATGATAAAATCATCAAGGCTGGAAATGATCTAACCAACATGTATATGAAGTGCTCTGTAAAAAAGCACAGGAAATCCCTTCCCTTACACCTCCTTTCTTCAAGAACTCACACATGAAACAGCTTTCTGGAACACATAAATCCATAACTGCACATTTCTGTTCACTTCTAGGTGGAAAAATAGACTATATAATGGGAGTACCTTCTCCTTGTGGCTCACAGTCTCATTAATGCTAACAAATTAGGCCTATGCACTGAACAGATCAGCAAGAACTTAAAAGTCATGCAATTTTCAAGTTCACAAGAGGGCCTTACAAAAAGAGTGCAAATTTCTACGACTTTTCAAAAAATTGTCACTGAATAAGATATAGATATTCATGGTGTCAGCAAGCCTTGATCTTGACACAGAGCTGAAAACTGAGTGCAAAGCCTCTGTGATCATAGAACATCTGTGGAAATTACCATCTTGACCTCTTATCCGTGGTATTTCAGACTAGTAAAGCAAAAGGGCTTTTAAAACCAGCAGATTTTAATTTCCCCCCCTCTCCTCGCTATGCTTTGCTGCTGCTGCCAGCTCCCAAACTCTCAGAACACCAAAGTGGGGGAGAACTGAGCTGAATTTCTGTTCCTGTGTGTTCTACATCATTACAGACCTGCTTGCATACTAAGTTGCTCCCCTGCAACTCCTCCTCTTCCTTCCATGGCTTTTCTGCCACAGAAAGATACAATATCTGGCCCTTGAGACAGAGGAGTTTTAGTCTTATACTGACAGAAAAACAATTTATTAGAAAATCCAAGTATCTTGGAGCACATGCAGTAGAAAACCCAGCCCTGCCAGGTGTACAAGCCTCTTTCTGCTATTTAAATATAAGGAAAGGAAACTGGCAGAAATTTGTCTTTACAACCTCTGTGGGCTATAGAAAGACACCACCCCTGCCAAAACCCAAAGACACTGCTCATGTCTTACTTACATCCATGAACTCCACATTGGCTTTTGGACCAGTGGTCTCATTAAGGATCTTAATGGCCACAGGAATCTTCACTGTTTCTCCCTCAGGGACCCAGATCCCCTGGAAAAAAATTTAAAAATTGATAGAAGACTAATAAGACAACAACCAGGAAAACTTGATTCAGAGTTACAGTTCTTTTTGATATATTCTGTCATGTTATGCAGAGGAGTTATGAGATGCAGAACTGAGAATACATAAAGTTACAAAATAAAAATAATCCATAAAACTACTTCTTACATCAAAAGTAAACTGTGCTGTAAAATGAAACATTTTTATATCAGTGAACATCCTCGATTTTCTTGTCCACAACAGGGTTTCTAAAGAGCAATGACAGCTCGGCCATGATGCACATTTTCTAGTGACTCAGATAAAATTCTGACACTGATTTCGATATAATTAAACAAAATTCTGGATTTTCTGTCTGGATTCAGATGCTCACATTTGAAGCTATCAGTAAACTCTCAAAACTGATTATCACCAGATCATAACATCATGCAGGAACAGAACACCCTGAGAAAAATATACTTAGAGTAAAACATTTAGGGGTTGTTTGTCTAATTACTTAATACCTGAGAATCAAAAACTTAGGTGGCTAAAAAGGAAATTTAAAATTAAAATTCACAAACTGTATGTGTCTTGGGCTACTTTTCCATCATCCTTGACTATTGCTGTGTTCTTGTCAGTCTCATGGCATCCATCTCTATCACTTTATTATCATCTAGGTATATTCAAACTCGTTATTTATAAATCTATTCCCAAGACCTTGCAGCTATAGCGACCTGGTCTGTGCTTCCTTTGTTTCCTCCCCTCTTTGAGGACAGATGCAGGTGCTCTGACCTGCCACCTTAATTTGGCACTTTTGGGCTGCTCCCAAAGGGTTGGGGTACTGGTTTGACTTGCCCACTAAGCCCTACTTCATGCCTCTGAGATCTGGACATGGCCAACAGATATTAAAAAATAAACACTTCTTTAACAGAAGTACTTTCTCCATTGTGGGTTCCACTCTCACATGCCAGTTGTTAAAGGGTACCCTGATGTAACTCATCTTTCCTATTCAAATGCAAGAAACAAGAAGTGTTACAGTTTAGGTAATGGCATTGTTTTACTAGGTATTATTGCTGTTGCAAGACCTATGTGACAATTGTGAAATGAAAGACAGTGTTTATCCATCTTTCCAAAAATGTCCTGCTCTTACGGAAGAACAGAAGGGCAAACTTTGGTGCTGCACTTTGCCAGCAGGACAGTCCAGCCTGTGTGGCCCCCTTGCACATAAAAATGACTGGGGCTGACATGTCTTTGCTCACCAAAAAATAACATTTGCACGTAACACCCTGAGGATGTGTTCCTTGCACAATTCCAGCATCCTTTCTCAACCTTGCTCACCCACAGGCCAGGCTGCTTTGCTGCAATGCACGACCTGACTGCTCCAGAGTTAAAAGAGGGGATTGAGGGTTGTGTGGGCAAGACTCTCACCTTGTACACTGTTCCAAAGGCTCCAGAGCCCAGGACCTTGACTCTCTTGAGCTCTGTCTCCTTCAGGATGCGGAGCTGTGCTTGGTTGGGCGCCGTGCCGCTCGGGGTCAAGGGCTCCACAAGCTGAGGAGGGAAATCCAACTGCCTCAAACACTGCTAGACATGAACACCCACCAGAAATTGATACTGAGAGCAACCAACCCAAGGAAATGCTGGAACAAGAACACTGGTGGAGATCCACCACTGCCCTGCCAATCCTTGGAGGGATTTTTCATCTTCAAAAGCAAACGAGCAATACCACGAAGCCAAGAGATGTGATAAAGCAAGTCCTCACTCAAATGCAATAATTTCCTCCAGAAACTGTGTGATGGAATTATGAACTGGAAATTGAAATTGGTGTCAGAGTAGCACATCCAAGGACTTTTGATAATGGAGGCAGTATAAATATTTTCTCCATGACAGAAATACAGCATTTATTATCAGTGTACCACATCCTATTTTTGCCCATTTTAGTGTCTTTTAAGTTGGCCATATTTCTTTTTAATGGCCTGGACTAAATGGCTCATCACATTCTTATTCTGTTTTGAGGAAGGGATGTTTTTTCTTAACTTCTGTTTTACCACACAGGAGGACAGCTTTAGGGAGAAAACACCTTAGAGCAGACAACTAATTTATAACAGCCACTAATTTACTGCAATTAGACAATTTGCTCAAGATGTCCCAAGAAACTGTAAATGAGCCACAATGGCACATTCAGTTAAAAATGCTCTTAGATCTCATACCATCTTTGCCAGAAAAACAATCATTCTTTAAAAATAAATTGAAAGTACATGTAGAGGACAATACTCAATACAACACATGAATAACATTCTGTTCCTTTACAGGATGAGGAAAATAATTCAGGGCTCCTCCTACTCAAATTGGTTTGAAACTACTGCAGCATTTCAAAGCTGCTTGTTTACAAGGCTAAATGCACCATTCTCTGCAGTTTGAGAACTGCTTCTATGGCTCTTCAGGCACCATGAACTACTTAATTAGTTGACCTGACTAATTCGTTTTGTTCAGGTAAAAATAGCAGTATCTGGCAATGAATGGATAAGAACACATAACAAAACCAAACAGCAACAAGTTGAGTGATTTCTCTTTCCTCCTTTCCACTTTATACCATGAAAGGAAGATTTACTGTAAAAGAAAATTAGGCGTGCTGGCAGCATACTTCTGTATTTTCAGTTTATGAAGGATGAAAAGAGGTTCTGTGTCACAGTTCACCAACCCAGGAATGGCAGGGAGAGGTGGGGATGTGTTGTGGGGGTCTAAAACCAGGCTTGTAGAGTTTTATGGAGAATGATCTACAAAAAGAGTAAGGTACAGCCTCCAGCTAGAGACTTCGACTAAAGCCAACTGCTTGTGTGTTTATTTCAGGATGCTCCTGATTTAATCTTCAGTTTCTCAGCCAAGACAGCAGCTTCCCTACATGTTGAGTAGGAGGCCCTGGTCCCTCAGGACTGCCAGCCACAGCTTTTATCTGACCAAATAAAAAAATGAAGTCTGGAGTTCAAAGCCAATGCAAGGAGAACAACCTGCTTAAAATAATTTAGGCTTAAGTATGGGTTGATACAATGGCAAGATTTATTCATCTAAAGGCACTGAGTATTGTTAAGCTTTCTATACAGCTGAACAGTGTTTAACAAGCAACACAAATTCTAGCCAAACATGAAGATACTTGTGCAAACAGACTGGGGATGCATAAATCATTTACTCCCAGGCTCTACAGGGGAGATGAGTGGGAGCAGAACCCTTGGAACAGAAGAGAAAACAGCACTGTTAATAATGCCTTATCAAAGAGTCACTAGCTAACAGCATTTCCAAGCTTTATTATCTTACAAAGGGGCACCCGAATTTAAAAATACCATCATTTGCAAAGTGTCTCAAGTATAGGGCTGAGGAGATGGTGGTAATCATCATTGCAGTAGCTGATAGATATACATTTAATGTTATATTTAAATATACTTCCTAGATTGCCCCCTTCACTAATGACACTTCAAAGAGCAGGATGGAGCCATCACAGCACTCTGCTACAGCTCTGCTACATGTTTTTGCCAGCAGAACTGTGAACTTCAATTGGTTAAGCTCTGTGAAGTCTCTTGGCTTGATAAAATACATTATTAGTACTGATCATTATTACAGGCTTTGACAAAATCTGGGCTACAAAGGCATTGTAGGCACTGGGAACAACAGTAAGTTACAACATCTGCCTTTAAGCATGAAGTTTGTACCAGAGCTTGCTAAAGGAACTTACCTCAGCCTTAAAAGTCAACCTAAATACGGCCAGAATGAAACGCTGTCATGTTTAAGCATGAGAGCTGCTCTGTGTGCTGATGAACTGGCATACAAGTTCAGTGGAGAGCAGGATGGGAGCAGAGGAATCTGGTGGGACACGCCTTCTAGCATTCATGGGCAACTTTTGCTGGCCTTCAGAAGCCATGAGTCTGTACTTGTGCAGAAAACCAGCATCCTGAAACGACCTAGTTCTTTTCACCAGTTTAGACTGCACAAAGCAAGCAAAAGGATTTCTCCAGGCTCTCTGGTAACTGAAGACCTGAACACGTGTAATATAAGAGCAGAACAGCCCTGCATGTGTCCCCAAAGAGGCTGTGAGAAGCAGCCTGGGCTCACCTCAGTCTCCAGGAACCTTCTCAGTGCTCTCTTCTTCTTGATGCTCTTGCGCCGAACGTACACGGCGAACGTCAGGCCCATGATGACGATGATGAAGAGGCCACCAATGACTCCTGCAGCAATCAGGGGGGTTCTAGCAAGCAGAATCACAGACTTTACTGTCACAGCTAGGCTGAGAGACCAAAGAATGTCCACAGCCATGTGGATAGTTCATTAACTGCCTCATGACGGGAATTCCAGCCCAAATGGGAAGTCAGGGCACACACATGGACACATGGTGGGAATTTGCTCATTTTTGATCATGATACCAATTCTGTTTTTGTTTACAAACCCCCATGCATATGTGAGGAGTCGTGTGGACAAGGAAACACAACATGCACTTTTGATGGCAAAGGCAAATCTGCAATGGCAAAATGAGGACACAGGTATCTGCAGCTTCCTCTGCTGGGCAAAACAAGCCAACAAAAAAATTCCCAGACTAACACCACTATTGTGCCTTCCTGAGTATGGAGGAAGTGAGAGGGAGCTTCACAGGCAAGACTGGGAGATCACCTACATAGGCAATGGAGATATCAGGCTCCCTCCATGGAAAAACTCAAAGCAGTGCCTTGATAGAGGCATTTTCACAGCATACCAACAACTTACCAACATGAACACACTCAGAGCATTTAACATCCTTCCAACAGTGGCTGGACAGTTGCTGAAAAGATGGGTGAAAAGATGGGTAAAAACACAGCATGACAATTGTGGAGTATGATGGTGCTGAAAGCATTGCCTAGTAAGCCCAGGGAATAGACTAACTGTTGTCAAGATTTTGGAAATGTCACTGCTGTGCTCTAAAAGCCTCCCTCACTTACATCTGAATGATGATGAAAAGTACATTAGAGCCTATTAATAAAAATGGACCACACAGCTACGAAAAATTTTAAAGAGTCTTCCTCAGAAATGCTAAATTGTTTTACACAATCCTTTATTCTTCCTTTTACAACCTTTCCTGAAGCATCTCCCCTGGTATGGTGCATGAAGGTGTGTCCACATTACCTCTGAGAAAGCCTCATACTCTCACATCCAGCATTTAAAGCACCACTGCCACGTTTTCCCAGGGTAAACACATTAACACAAAGGCCTATTGCAGTTCATAGACTTTATAAGCTTACAAATAAAGGAAGGGGAATGTTGTCTGGCTGGAAAACGGTTTATGGTGTTTGGGGAACGAGTCCAGCACCACCTCCTCCTCCTCCTCCAGGGAGTCCAGCCTTAAAACACATTTCCCTTTCTAACCCCAGTGGTTACTCTGTGATTTTGAGTGCAGAGCTTAAAGAATCTGGTATATCCACCCCAAACAATGCTCCTCTTTGTCTGGATGTCTTTCTACATTGCTGATGCAAGAAAGTCTTTAATAGACAGTTATAAAAAACACTGCCCACCAAAAGCCTTCTATAGAGCTTGTGCTGCCTAATGCTCTTGAGCAGAGGAATTTTTAAAATTCATTTTTATGCTGAATGAACAGTCATATAATTTTTAACAAACACCACTAAACCACAGACTGACTAAACAGGCAGGAGAACTCCCAGCTTTAAAGTGCATATTAATAACTAACATAACAGTTGTCAAAGTAAGTAATTGGAGTTTTACAGTCCTGTGTACTCTAAAAGTAGTCCAAATAATATTTACATGATAGGCTATAATAAAGAAATGGTTCTAAAGGGGACATAATAAGTAATGAAGAAAATAAAATGAAGTTTGTAGGCCTTTTATTGTTATAGAGTACAAGGGGGGTTCAAAGTGGATCTTTATGATTCATCATGTGAACTCTCACTGACTTTGAAAGAATGTCCTCATTTTTAATAGGTAATTGAAAAAAAGGAAATAATTTTCAATGATTTCACCAAACAAGCATTTTAGTTGCTACTGTGAAGTAAGCTATATTATACCTGAATTTTCAGGAGGCACCACCTAAACATATCATCAAGCAAGCTTAAAAAGGAAGCGTGAAAGGGATAGTACACTGTGCAAGAAAAGAACATATTTAAATGCTAAACAAATCATAGAAATGCAGAAAAGCAAAATAGTGATCAGTTGCCTTGACTCCCAAAGCCACTACTTTTGCATCAAATCCTGTCAGTCACAAACGTGCCAGCCACAACACACCCAGCAGCTTCTCCTCTCTCTGCTGCTGAGCTCAGCCCCAAAGCCAACAGCCCTGGGGTTTATTTGCTCCAGGACCAAATGCCAAGTCTCTGCAGCCACAGCTCCCTGCTAGCTCTTCACCATTGCTTTCAACCCCACGTGGATTATTTCCTAAGGCCAGTTTTCAGGGTGCCACCCCATCACTGGAGTTATTTTCCCTTGTGTTTGTTGGGTTGGCTTTGCTTTTTCTCTCTGTTCTGCTAATATCATCAGCTCTCCTGCCTCAGGTGTCTGCTGATTTTCATGCTTGCAAAGCCTTACCTTTAATACCCTGATGAATTCCATTAAGCTGTTTACCTTTCTCTGGGACATTGCTGGGGCTGCTCAACAAGGATCCCTGCAAAGTGGCACTGACCAGAGCTGCTGCTGAAGTCACAAAACCTTCTCCCATTTAGTTTTTTTTAATTCAATTTTTTTGCACGTGCACCTAACAAACTGTTTGGCTTCACAGGCAGCAGGACACACAGATCTCCTTTTCTCTAGTGGCATTAAGGGCCTAATCCACTTACTTTTGTTACATTACTATCCCACTGCCAACTCCATGACTGCAATTCCTGACGCTTGCCCCCCGAGACTACTGCCCACTTAAAACTAATTCCATGAGCAATGCTGATTAAAAGACAAAAGATGCACAATCAAAAGCCCCCATCGTGTTAAAGTAATTTTTAAAAGCATGGAGGGCTGGAAAGGCTCAGAAAAGCTAAAGTCAAGCAAGGAGAGGTAGTTCTATGTCAGTCCTGCCTGTCCAGCTTATTAATGGACAGCCAAAAGTCATTCCTAGCTCACATTTCTTACAGCTCCACCACTAACCCACCAATAGGAAGCTCCTGACAGAGCCACTGCTTTTCTTCACACACTGGAAATCTACTCCAGAGGATGGAAACAATCTCTGCTAGGTGTTTCTGGATTTTCATGCTCATCAAAACAGGCTTAGCAGTCCAAGAAGCATGGCCCTGAATCATAGTTCAACCCCATATAATTAATTTGCTATCCCACATCCCTCCCTCAACTGAGGACAGCACACCCAATTAATAAGTGGGAAAGGCTTAGTGAAAAAGATGGGGAGGCTGTGGGAGGGAAAAAAAACCCTCACAACACAAAAATCCTGCCTCTTAAACTAGAAACTGTGTAGCTGTGGCTAAAAGTTGAAAGATTTCAGTATTCCCTTAGGAGAAATGAATAATATATATATATTTCTTTTAAAATGTGTACTGTGTTTTTAAATTTACAAACACGTAGCACACATCCCACCCCACGAAAACTGACACTGAGTTCAAAGTTAGTACTCCAAGACGGACAAGGATGCTCAGCAGCAGGGCTCCTACCACTCCCTCTACTCCAAAAGATCAGGACATCTGCAATTCCCACAGTGCCCTGAGACCAGGCATTAAAGCCTAATGACTGATTTGGAGGAATACACGGCTGGTCTCACACTCTTCACTGGAGAGTGCAGCAGAAAGGGGAGAGGAAATCGAGCTGTGGAGTAAAGCTGACAAACACCACCTGTTTCTCCATCCCTGGCACTGACCCACCTGCTATGAGATGTAAAGAAACTGAGCTTTGAAGCCAAGCTGTTAGAAGGCTGCAAGCTCCTGTAGCAACTTTCTCCTCCCTGGAGTTTTTATCTATCTATCCAAACAGGATTCATTACAACCTTGAGTGTTTGCTAAGCAGTTCCTTCTCTTAAATCCTTTTTACTGAGGCATTATTTTTTTCCTGATGGATGCTCCCCACCTTCTGCATTCCTCACCCACTTCCATCAGTGGGGGTTCAGCCAACTTTGAAGTTGCCCTTTGAGAGATCTGATGGATTCTACCAATCCTGTAGTGATATTCTTAGTGTTTAAAACATACAAGACAAACAACCAGGCTGGGAAGCAAATTTGTGGGTGTTTCCACAGCCTCTCTCTGCTGTGCAAAGTTTGACAGCCACAATGTCCAGAGTACCTGGTGTTCACCCCAGGGGTGGGCAAGGACTCATCTGATGTTATTCCCATCAAGACTGCTTTGCTTTATACTATTTTTCAAGAACAAGGCACCCTTCCCCCTCTCTCCTCCTAATCTGAGGGTGTTTGAAAACTGATAAATGGCCCTATTTATGTGCAGATTGGGAGTTTTCATCATGATTAAACACAAATTTTAACTCACAGCTGATCTCACACAGTTACACAATTACTACCGATCCCACATTTAATCCAGACACGGGCAAACTGTCAACCAGCCACAACTTTTCAGTGTGCACAATGACCTGAGGGTTGCAGGCTGTGTCTGGGTCCACTCAGCAGTTCAACATCACTGAAGAGCAGACACAGCCTTCACTTGGGCCAAGGCTCATGTGGACAATCACATTCCTGTTGGCAAAACTGCATTTTCCTTACCCACACTGGTTCTTATATCAATGCCTGTAAAGGTATCTTCTACTCACACTCTTTTTAAAAAATGTAGGAGTCCCCGTTTCACTCAGCAAAGTAAATGAGGATAAAGAAAAAATACTAAGTATAGCTTTGAAAATTTTTACAGCCTAACATTCTACATATTAATATGTATTGATTAAAAATCTATGGCATTTTTATTACCACACACAGTGCACAATGGATTTCTTTAAAACTGGTTTTAAATCTGAATGGCATAATTTAGAACTACCACTCTGTTATGTTTTCACTACAAATTACTAAGAACTCTCAATTTTGACTCCTTGTTAATACATCTGACTAGGAGTAACAAATGAAATCTCTGGGATTACAGCATCATTTTCAAGGCTTTTTATGGGCTTCTCCTCCTCTAAAACTGAAAAGTCCCAGTAAGATCTCTTGCATCCCTACCGTTTTTAGGCTGAGATTTTTCTTTTCTGCCTCAACTTAAAAAAGGAATGCTATTGTTAAGAGCTTGCACAGTGACTCTTTTTTGAGGCTTGTGCTTTAAATAAACAGATTGGCATTCTTTT